AGAATCTTTCAATTTAAATTATTATATAAAATTCTTGCTACCAATATAATGTTATTTATATGGGGGATACAATCTTCCCAGCTCTGCATATTTTGCTGTGAAGAGATAGAATCATTAGATCATTTGTTTTGGTTCTGTCCATTTGTAGCTTGTTTTTGGACACAGGTCCAGGAATGGCTAAAGGATTGCAATATTTACCTGGAACTAACCTTGCAGATAGCATTACTGGGTGATCTGAAAAGTCATAGTCAATCAATCAATAATATAATAATACTTTTAGCAAAAATGTTTATTTTTAATTCACAATCTGTAGAAGCAATGAGAATAGAAAGGTTCAGAACTTTTGTAAAACATCACAGTATGGTTGAAATATATATGGCAAATAGAAATCCTATATGGATGGTGTTAAGAGATAGATGGGAGGTATTGAATAGAGTTGAAGGATGGGACTAATAACAAATAACAACAAATAATAACAAAGATAGCTAATAATGTAAGCATACTGTGTCCATAATAAGTATATAGGTTGTATGTTGGGAGCTTTTGGGAAAGAGCACAGTTAGAAAGATATGGCATTTAGAAGCAAACCGGATGGACATCATGAAAATGATCGGAGAGGTTGAGAGTAGAAGAAGTTCAGGAGCAAAAAAATAAATAAATATATATATATATATATATATATGGATATAGAATTATTGTAAAATTAACTCTGTCCATAAGGTGTAGATAGTAATTATAGACCGGAAGTAGAGGCCTGGGCGTTGTTGTTCACTAATTTACTCCAAGTAGGGAAAGGATGGTGGGGTTGAAAAGTAATAAAGGGGAGTATATATATATATAAAAAATAAAAAAAACATGGGGGATTGGAAGTGATGCAGACAATTACATTCCAAGAAGAACAAAAATACATTTTACAGTAGCCTATATACTGCCTACATAGAAACACTACGTCTCCCGAGTGGCGCAGTGGTCTAAGGCACTGCATCGCAGTGCTAGCTGTGTCACTAGAGATCCTGGTTCGAATCCAGGCTCTGTCGTAGCCGGCCACGACCGGGAGACCCATGGGGCGGCGCACAATTTGCCCAGTGTCGTCCAGGGTAGGGGAGGGAATGGCCGGCAGGGATGTAGCTCAGTTGGTAGAGCATGGCGTTTGCCACGGGGGGCCAGTATAAAAAATGTAATGTATGCACTCACTAACTGTAAGTTGCTCTGGATAAGAGCGTCTGCTAAATGACTAAAATGTAAATCTGTTAATAAATGTGAAGACATTCAAAATAGAAGCTGGATATCCTAATGTTAGAAAGTAGAATATAAACTAGATATATGCTACTGTGGGTGGGGTCACAGTAATGAAAATGATTTAGGCTGTCCCCCTTCTAGCTCTGCTCGGACTCTACTGATAGCTACGTTTATTGAGGAAAAATGTACTTTCTATGCCTGTGATGTGTGGTTTGTCCCACCTCTTAAGATGAATCCACTAACTTTAAGTCGCTCTGGATAAGAGCGTCTGCTAAATGACTAAAAATGTCAAATGTAATGAATAATCATATAAATGGATGGAGTCAGTGAATGAATGGCTTCAGCAACCATTACATGGTCTGACAAGCTGCATAACTAATTAGACAAAAGAACAATGAACTTTTCTTGTCTATTAATGTTCTTTACTATGTCATGTTCTCTGTGGACCCCAGGAAGAGTAGCTGCTGCTTTTGCAACAGCTAATGGGGATCCTAATAAAAATACCAAACAAGATACTAAGTCGCTCAACAACTATATTTTTTTGCTTTGGACTTTAGGGCTTCCGTAACTGTTGCTTTGTTCTAATAATTTTCCCATTATCTCCAAACTGTTCCCTTTCAATTGCTACCATGGTTATCCATTTCATATTATTTTATCAATTTCTTCTGTAAGAAACATTTCAATGTAGTCCTATCCACATAGGTCAGGGCTCTCCAACCCTGTTCCTGGAGAGCTACCATCTTGTAGGTTTTAACTCCAACCCTGTTCTTGGAGAGCTACCATCTTGTAGGTTTTAACTCCAACCATGTTCCTGGAGAGCTACCATCTTGTAGGTTTTAACTCCAACCATGTTCCTGGAGAGCTACCATCTTGTAGGTTTTAACTCCAACCCTGTTCTTGGAGAGCTACCATCTTGTAGGTTTTAACTCCAACCCTGTTCTTGGAGAGCTACCATCTTGTAGGTTTTAACTCCAACCCTGTTCTTGGAGAGCTACCATCTTGTAGGTTTTAACTCCAACCCTGTTCTTGGAGAGCTACCCTCTTGTAGGTTTTAACTCCAACCCTGTTCTTGGAGAGCTACCATCTTGTAGGTTTTAACTCCAACCCTGTTCCTGGAGAGCTACCATCTTGTAGGTTTTAACTCCAACCCTGTTCCTGGAGAGCTACTATCTTGTAGGTTTTAAACAATTTAATTCTGAAATGTATTTTTTTATTTATTTTTTTTAGACTTTTTTCAAATGTTCTCAAAATCCCAACTTTGATTGACACTGGAGGTAAAATAGATAATGTCAAGGTCAATGTGTTCTGTCTAGACCCTTGCAATGACTATGTTGACACCACATTTAATGTATTTACACCAAACAGAATTTGTTATTTGCCACATTTTGATATTGTACTAAATATTGTACAAGGATGAGAATGGGTTAAGATAATCCTTTGTAATAATCAATCAGCTTGTGTTCGTCCACACACCAACCTGCTACAAGAGTCTGCCTTGTAGTATCATAGTCTATTCCCCAAAACCATTCTGCAGTTTTATTTCACAATGGAGGAAAATGATCACACTTCAATCAGTGACTGACTTGACTTTCCAGCTCAAATTTGAACTCTAGTCTCTTGTGGTTCTGGCACACTTGTGAGAATAGTTGGATGCATGAGAATGCAGTACACACTTCCAGACACTAGGTGTCACTGCAACTGCAGCCATGCAAGTTGTAGAAACAGCCAGATATCTTACATTCATGGTCTCCTACAGGGCCGGCTTTAACCTTGGGGGCCCTAAGAGAGATTTGGTTGGGGGGGGGGAGACAGGCTGTTTTGGTGGGATGGAGTTTTGGCCTTACATGGTGACATCACCATGCGGTAAATTACTTACGTGCCTTTAGTATTCATACCACTTGACTTATTTCAGCCCGAATTCAAAATTGACTAAATATATTTTTTTCTCACCCATCTACACACAATACCCCATAATGAAAAAGTGAAAACATGTTTTTAGACATTTTTGCAATGTATTGAAAATGAAATACAGAAATATCTCATTATATAAGTACTCACACCCCCGAGGTAATACATGTTAGAATCACCTTTGGCAGCGATTACAGCTGTGAGTCTTTCTGGGTACGTTTTCTAAGATTGTACAATATTTACAACATTATTATTTTAAAAATTATTCAAGTTATTTGTTGATCATTGCTAGACTGCACTTTTCAAGCTGGTTTAAGTCAAAAATGTAACTAGGCCACTCAGAAATATTCAATGTCATCTTGATAAGCAACTCCAGTGTATATTTGGCCTTGGGTTTTAGGTAATTGTCCTGCTGAAAGGTGAATTTGTCTCCCAGTGTCTGGTGGAAAGCAGACTGAACCAAGTGGTCCTCTAGAATTTTGCCTGTGCTTAGCTCTATTCCATTTATTTTTATCCTAAAAAACTCCCTAGTCCTTGCCGATGACAAGCATACCCCTAACATGATGCAGCCACCACCATGCTTGAAAATATGAAGAGTGGTACTTGGATTTTCCCCAAACTCAAGACATTTCAGCTTTTTTTTTTTATTAATCAGTTTAAAAAATTGAAAAACATAATTCCACTTTTATATCATGGGGTATTGTGTGTAGGCCAGTGGCAAAAAATCTCAATTTAATATTTTTTTTATTCAGGCTGTAACACAACAAAATGTAGAAAAATTCAAGGGGCGTGAATACTTTCTGAAGATATATATCTGAGCTGTAATAAAAGATCCCAGAAATGTTCCATGTGCACAAAAAGTTTATTTCTCTCAAATGTTTTGCACAAATTTGTTTACATCCCTGTTATTGAGTATTTCTCCTTTGCCAAGATAATCCATCCACCTGACAGGTGTGGCATGTCAAGAAGATGATTAAACAGCATGATCATTACACAGGTGCACCTTGTGCTGGGGGCAATAAAAGGCCACTCTAAAATGTGCAATTTTGTCACACAACACAATGCCACAGATGTCTCAAGTTTTGAGGGAGCGTGCAATTGGCATGCTGACTGCAGGAAGGTCCACCAGAGCTGTTGCCAGACAATTCAATGTTCATTTCTCTACCATAAGCCGCCTCAAACGTTGTTTTAGAGAATTTGGCAGTACGTCCAACCAGCCTCACAACCGCAGACCACATGTAACCATGCCAGCCCAGGACCTCCACATCCGGCTTCTTCACCTGCTGATGAAACTGTGGATTTGCACAACCGAAGAATTTCTGCACAAACTGTCAGAAACCGTCTCAAGGAAGCTCATCTGTGTGCTCGTCGTCCTCACCAGGGTCTTGACCTGACTGTAGTTTGGCGTTGTAACCAACTTCAGTGGGCAAATGCTCACCTTCGATGGCCACTAGCATGCTGGAGAAGTGTGCTCCTCACGGATGAATCCCGATTTCATCTGTACCGGGCAGATGGCAGACAGCGTTTATGGCGTTGTGTGGGTGAGTGGTTTGCTGATGTCAACGTGCATATCTGTATTTCCAGTCATGTGAAATCCATAGATTAGGGCCTAACTGATTTCCTTATATGAACTGTAACTCAGTAAAACCTTTGAAATTGTATCATGTTGCGTTTATATTTTTGTTCAGTATAACATCAACAGTGGTGGCTGTCTACTCTCCCCCCCTTTTCATTTATTTTCATGGTTCAACGGTTATCAATTGATATCGGGAATAACCCAGGGTTACGAGGGTTATGGGACAAAAAAGCTTATTGTTTATCAAATCAAGTCTCCAATTGTCATAATTGACAGTTCATTCTTCAAGCATTCTCACCAGTTTACGGATCCTGTCCAGGACGGAGTCAATGATCTCCTTGCCGATGGTGTAGTGACCGCGTGCGTAGTTGTTGGCAGCATCCTCCTTGCCTGAGATGAGCTGCTCAGGGTGGAACAGCTGGCGATAGGTACCTGTCCTGACCTCATCTGGAGGAAGAGAAAACAGTATTTTTCTATATGGGGCTGGAGAGAAGACTAGATACCCGTGGATGATGTTCTGTACACATTTATAAATGGAATGTACTGGCACATCTGAGATTTGCTTTAGCAGGTGTGTCGTAAATGTTGAAGTGTTTTTCAAAGGATAAAAGCTTCTGTGAAAAGACTTACCGATAACGGTTGGCTCCAGGTCGACGAAGATGGCGCGGGGCACGTACTTCCCGGTGCCCGTGGCGCTGAAGAAGGTAGTGAAGGAGTCGTCAAGGTTACCTGTGGGCCTTATCGCTAGGCATCTGTCCGTCCGGCTGGATCCCATGCTCCAGGCAGTACAGCTCCCAACAGGTGTTGCCCATCTGGACTCCGGCTTGGCCCACATGCACAGAGATACACTCACACTGTTGAGAGAGACGGGGTGAGAAGGAGAAGAGACAATCTGAATGAACTAGACAGCGATGACACCTGACCATATGGAGGATATTGCGCAGTGTGCCCCCTAGGTCCAAGAATTCAGCTGTGTCGTATGTGTGACACCATGTGTGTAAATGATTATGATACACTAAGTGAACAAAACATTAAGAACACCTGCTCTTTCCATGACATACACTGACCGGGTGAATCCAGGTTAAAGCTATGATCCCTTATTGATGTCACTTGTTAAATCCACTTCAGTCAGTGTAGATGAAGGGGAGGAGACAGGTGGTTAAAGAAGGACTTTTAAGTCTTGAGACAATTGAGACATGGATTGTGTATGTGTGCCATTCAGAGGGTGAATGGGCAAGACAAAATATTCAAGTGCCTTTGAACGGGGTATGGTAGTAGGTGCCAGGCGCACCTGTTTGTGTCAAGAACTGCAACGCTGCTGGGCTTTTCACGCTCAACAGTTTCCTGTGTGTATCAAGAATGGTCCACCACCCAAAGGACATCTAACCAACTTGACACAACTGTGAGAAGCGTTGGTGTCAAAATGGGTTAGCGGAATGCTTTTGACACCTTGTGGGCTGTTCTTTTGACACCTTGTAGGCTGTTCTTTTGACACCTTGTAGGCTGTTCTTTTGACACCTTGTAGGCTGTTCTTTTGACACCTTGTAGGCTGTTCTTTTGACACCTTGTAGGCTGTTCTTTTGACACCTTGTAGGCTGTTCTTTTGACACCTTGTAGGCTGTTCTTTTGACACCTTGTAGGCTGTTCTTTTGACACCTTGTAGGCTGTTCTTTTGACACCTTGTAGGCTGTTCTGAGGGCAAAAGGGGGTGCAACGCAATAGTAAATCTCAAGGCTCTCCACTGGGTCACGTTAAGTAACCTCCGGTAGGTACTGTTAAGGTGTATGACGCCACCCCAGAGTTTCCTCTCACAACTCGCCTCTCTCTCATCATTTCCAGGGACATCGTCCCTTACCTCCCTCATCAACCCCTCTGACGTCATCAATTACAGACAGGTATCCTTTCTTTTCTGTTTGCCATTAACATTATTGTATGTCTAATCGAACATTTTAATTTAAATTAAAATCATACAATAACTGTATTTTGACATACCTGATCAACCGATAATGCTTGTTTACGTCTCTGTCTCCTATCCTGTTCCCTTTATCTCTGCTCCTGTTCTCCAGGACCTTGGGGTTCTGCCCAACAGCCAGACGTGGATCCACCTGATGTCCTCCGTTACCAACCACCCTCCAACTTTTCATTACATCATCTACAGCTACTGTTGCTGTCATTATCTGATAGAACGTTTTTATTGCTCTCTCATCCTGCCCACATAATATGTGAGATACACAGATGAACTAAAAACGCTGGCACTGCAAAAACACTCAGAACAAAGAGAGCAGCAGTGCCTGGACTTTTGCAGTCTCCCCTCTTCCAGTCCCCCTTCTGAGACTGGCTGCCTGTTGAGAGCAAGTGACAGGCAGAACCTCCCACCCACACAGCAACCACCCCGTCTCTATTCCACACACCAGAATTCAGTATGTCAGTCTATTATTGCCTGTGAAAATAATTTAAAATATTATTTTTTTTGCAGAGGGGGCATTATTTGGCATGACGGCTCCCTAGCGGTCGGAGGCCCTAAGCGACCTGGCTGGAACTGGCCCTGGTCTGGTAAACACAACCCTAGGCAACAGCAGGCCGGAACTGGCCCTGGTCTGGTAAACCCAACCCTAGGCAACAGCAGGCCGGAACTGGCCCTGGTCTGGTAAACCCAACCCTAGGCAACAGCAGGCCGGAACTGGCCCTGGTCTGGTAAACCCAACCCTAGGCAACAGCAGGCCGGAACTGGCCCTGGTCTGGTAAACCCAACCCTAGGCAACAGCAGGCCGGAACTGGCCCTGGTCTGGTAAACCCAACCCTAGGCAACAGCAGTGACCGTAGCGTTGGATACATTGTGTGAGGCAACCGTCTGCCTAGGGAAACTCCTGTGCAATTCCACAATCACGGAATTGCGCTGAGACTGATTTTTCAATTGAAATGCGTGCCCAAACAAAAAAACATTGATTTTTAAAAGTTTAACAAACCTCACAACTTCTATGCAAAAGGACTAGTGGATTTACACCCGGTAACAGAATGATGGTAACGGCATTACATCATGGGTCCCTGATCTGTACTACACAGAAATGCATAATAATGATGATGATAGTAATGTCGTGCTCTTCATGGTGATGTATCCTGAGTAGGAACACAAACGTAGAGTAGAAATATACAATATCCTCCTTGGCATATTCGGCTATTGTTCTACACACTGGCTATTATTGTAATGAGTTCTGCACCCCAAAACAAGACCATATTTGGTTGGTGCGGACCAAATCTGAACCAATCATAGGCGTCTATGTTTCAAAGTTTGGACATCAGAGTAGAGCTCAGTAGAGTACAGCAGAGTTCAGTAGAGTTCAGTAACAGTACAACACAGCAGAGTAGAGTAGAGTACAGTACAGTACATTATAGTGGACTCAACTCTAGTGTGCTCTACAGTACTGTACTGAACTGAACTATTATCTACTTTTAGTTTTTACTGTACTGTGATGTGCTGTCCAAACTTGTGAACCCAACTGTGGTTTGTGACTACTATGATTTCCCATTGTAGCCAATTCAATTGCAGAAATTCCATTACCGAATAAAAATAAAATAAAATAAAGTTTTAATCACTTAATAATTCATTAAGAAAATGTATATCAGTAAAAACACTATAACTAATTGCTAGGTCTACCTTTACTGATTACTTCTGTGAACTTTCATTATCCTCCCTCATGAGGGAGAGACATTAGAAAATATTGTAAAGATGTGTGGGTTTTGGTTAAAAGGAAATGTTTCTTAAAATTACTAAAGCCAGAAAAATGTATCCTAAACTAAATATAAGTATTGATATTAGTTGGCAGGGGTCAACGTTATTGTGTTTTGATGTATTTCTAATACATTTTAAGACGTTTTCTGGTAGATGTTTTTGAAGACCTCTGGTTTACCAGACATCAAAGCCTTTTTACTTTAATTTTTACGAAAATGGTGGAAAAGTGTATATATGCCTTAATTTCTTTCAAATATAGAATCTTAGCTTTCATTTGACGCCCAAATTTGAAATGCTGCTATGAACTTCACATGTTGGCGCTCATGGGTCCTTTCACATGGAAATGCCCCACTACCTCCTTTCACATGGAAATGCCCCCACATTGAGCACTTCACATTTAGGGCTCTGTGTTAACAAACCTAACGAAATGGTAAATCTAAGCGCTGTCACTTTAACTTGGCCCTTGGAGGAGGGGTAGATGTGGTAGCCCTGTTTTCATTTGAACGTGATTTAAAGGGGTCCTTCTGCATCCGGTGAATGGTCATGCTGGGGGCATTAGTTTAGCCTACACCTGTCTGGATATGGGCAACTCCCTTGACACACATTAAAACATATAATAACCCACCATAGCAACACTTAGGTTTCTACATATACAGTGGGGGAAAAAAAAGTATTTAGTCAGCCGCTAATTGTGCAAGTTCTCCCACTTAAAAAGATGAGAGAGGCCTGTAATTTTCATCATAGGTACACGTCAACTATGACAGACAAATTGAGAGAAAAAAATCCAGAAAATCACATTGTAGGATTTTTAATGAATTTATTTGCAAATTATGGTGGAAAATAAGTATTTGGTCACCTACAAACAAGCAAGATTTCTGGCTCTCACAGACCTGTAACTTCTTCTTTAAGAGGCTCCTCTGTCCTCCACTCGTTACCTGTATTTATGGCACCTGTTTGAAATTGTTATCAGTATAAAAGACACCTGTCCACAACCTCAAAAAGTCACACTCCAAACTCCACTATGGCCAAGACCAAAGAGCTGTCAAAGGACACCGGAAACAAAATTGTAGACCTGCACCAGGCTGGGAAGACTGAATCTGCAATAGGTAAGCAGCTTGGTTTGAAGAAATCAACTGTGGGAGCAATTATTAGGAAATGGAAGACATACAAGACCACTGATAATCTCCCTCGATCTGGGGCTCCACGCAAGATCTCACCCCGTGGGGTCAAAATGATCACAAGAACGGTGAGCAAAAATCCCAGAACCACACGGGGGGACCTAGTGAATGACCTGCAGAGAGCTGGGATCAAAGTAACAAAACCTACCATCAGTAACACACTACGCCGCCAGGGACTCAAATCCTGCAGTGCCAGATGTGTCCCCCTGCTTAAGCCAGTACATGTCCAGGCCCGTCTGAAGTTTGCTAGAGTGCATTTGGATGATCCAGAAGAGGATTGGGAGAATGTCATATGGTCAGATGAAACCAAAATAGAACTTTTTGGTAAAAACTCAACCCGTCGTGTTTGGAGGACAAAGAATGCTGAGTTGCATTCAAAGAACACCATACCTACTGTGAAGCATGGGGGTGGAAACATCATGCTTTGGGGCTGTTTTTCTGCAAAGGGACCAGGACGACTGATCCGTGTAAAGGAAAGAATGAATGGGGCCATGTATCGTGAGATTTTGAGTGAAAACCTCCTTCCATCAGCAAGGGCATTGAAGATGAAATGTGGCTGGGTCTTTCAGCATGACAATGATCCCAAACACACCGCCCGGGCAACGAAGGAGTGGCTTCGTAAGAAGCATTTCAAGGTCCTGGAGTGGCCTAGCCAGTCTCCAGATCTCAACCCCATAGAAAATCTTTGGAGGGAGTTGAAAGTCTGTGTTGCCCAGCGACAGCCCCAAAACATCACTGCTCTAGAGGATATCTGCATGGTGGAATGGGCCAAAATACCAGCAACAGTGTGTGAAAACCTTGTGAAGACTTACAGAAAACGTTTCATCTGTGTCATTGCCAACAAAGGGTATATAACAAAGTATTGAGACATTTTTGTTATTGACCAAATACTTATTTTCCACCATAATTTGCAAATAAATTCATAAAAAATCCGATAATGTGATTTTCTGGAAAAAAATTTTTTTTCTCATTTTGTCTGTCATAGTTGACGTGTACCTATGATGAAAATTACAGGCCTCTATCATCTTTTTAAGTTGGAGAACTTGCACAATTTGTGGCTGACTAAATACTTTTTCCCCCCACTGTAATAACCCACCATAGCAACACTTAGGTTTCTACACCAACCCTAAACTAAAAGTGGCCCCCAAAACTGCTGTTCAAGAAACGGTTAAATGGGTATTTTCTATCCGAATCAGATGGAAGAACCAACATTGACCATAAATCAATGGCATTGTTAACATCCTCTGTTCCACACCCTTGTCTTTGCTTGTTCTCCTCCATCTCTGAGACAGAGGCAGCTCTCACTACCATTGGCCCACTGCGCTTTCTTTTCCACTGCAAACATCTTGAAAATCAACAGGGTCCTTTGGTGACGTCATTACGGGACCCCCACCAAAGATATATTGCGGGAGGGAAGAGACTAACACAAGGAGGAATTGAGAGATACCCGCTCCCAATCCGCTCCAGGATTTCCAGGTTTTGGATTGCCGTGTGTCATATGTGTGTGTGTGTTTCCCTCCCCTTTAGCTCAAACCCACAGTTATTGCACTTTAGCCAAGGTTTGGTTTCCGTTACCTGGCGTGAATCCAGCTGGATATAGGTCTGGTCGCAGCTCCGTGAAACAACATGGGGATTTGAATAGAGTCCAAAGGGCCGGAATTGAATCGTGAAGCTTACATCTTTTAGGTTTTAGGTCTGTCTAAAATGAAGCACCCGAAGCTATGGAGAGCGTTGTTTTTCATGACGGTGTTGTACCATCTTGGGATGTCAAGCAGATACGGTAAGATGATGGTGGAGTGTCGGGAGCATGTTGTTTCAGTGGAGGGTAAGAGAAGAGAAGAGGCACCGCCCCCGGTAGAAGGGAACCATCACTGGGAGGTAGTGAAGCAGTGTTTGGAATGAGGTCCGCACTATAGAGAAATTGATAATTCGGTAGTCTTTTCTGTTTACTTCAAAGATCTGCGAGGTGTGGAT